CGTCCCCAGCACCCCTTTAATCTCTCGTAAATCCGTGTTCAAATAGGCCAACTGGGCGCAATGGATAGACTTCTTCGCATGTTTAGCCATCAATTAGTCAATGATTGGCTTTCAGTCATGGAAAAGCCTGTATTCAAAGCCCTCTCCTCTCTCACTTTGCTAAAGAGAAGCACACCGCTTCAACTGTCCCTTGTGTCGTGCCGTATTCAACTCATAAATATGAAGTCGAATTGACGGTTAGTCGTCATCTTTTTCAGCTCCCCCGAGGCTCAACTCTCTCGTCTCTTAAAACGCAATCCCGATCTCTCTGGCGGCACCGCTCTCTCCTGAATCGCTACACAGATGCCTCTAGCAGATAGAGTTGCACCTTCTACCACTGTGCTGGACAATGAGGTCGACGGGGACCTTGCCGGGCTGGCAGAGCAAGTGGATGCCTGCTTAGAGCTGCTGCAAGCAAAAACTGCAAGGCGGTTTCGGCTGGTGGTGGCGTTGTGTACATGCGCTTTGGTTGGACTTGCCGTGGTTGTGCATCAATTTGCACTTTTATGAGTCATCTTTCATCCTGATATCCGATTCTTCTTAAGGCTCGATCTTTTTGTTATTTTTCATTGTAAGTTGGGTTTGCCACCCGTCCGTTGGTGCCCGCTAATAAACGTGCGGGGGGTGGGAACTGTGTATCCCTGTAAAATCCGGCAAACGATTGGGTGAATTGTCGAATAACTTGGCGGGGTCAAGAGTGCTTCCTAATGGGGCTAGATTGTAGGTCTGGGAATCAGCTTAGGAGACGCGGGAGGGGTTAATTGGGGGAAAGCGGCTTTATGGGGTCTTTTGGGTCGTGGCAAGCATCATTAGTTGACGGGTCGGGTAGGTGACCTAATTATGGGTTGCAAGGCCATCACGGGTAGGATGATGATCCAAATCTGGGTGTGTGCATTGTGCCATTTCAGGTTTCGAATGAGGAGGATGTCAGAAGGCAAGGCTCATCTGAATTATTTAGCGCTTGACTAAACAGTTAGACAAAGTGAAAAAAAAATAATATTTGCTTGGTTGTGCAGGGTTATAATACATATCTCTTTATGCACATATCGTGCGATACCGCACTGTTTGGAAGTAGGGAACCATCCAACTGGATTTCTAGACGTTCCAAAAAGCGATGGCGTGGTGCATTTTTTCAGATCTTGTAAGTTTCTGTGAGTTCTTGCGTCTCAGTCGTTTAAGCCATAGTGTGTTAAGCAATCTCAAATGTTTTCTCTTATGGTCTTGTGCTCTTACTAACGTATTTTTATTAATTGAACAGCTCCTTTGTAGCTGATATTTGCATCTAACACTTTTGTCTTGCTTTTTATCACATACTAGTATAGTTTTCCAGTTTACTGGAGTGTGTACTGGGGAGCTCAGTAGCAAATGTTTGTTATAATCCTTTCTTTCGATTTTCCATACATTCGTGTAGCTACTATGCTTACTGGGGAGAATTTGCTACGTTCCTATTTTAACTCGTACACTTATTAGCTTCCCATGCTTTCTTTTCGCATATTTTGCCAAAGTCTTTTCTTTTTTAGGCAAAATATGGACCCCATTTTCGTGATTTTTCTCCGTTTAATTGAACCTTCGGTACTTATTCATTAACATCTAGTCCTACCGTTCTGATGAGACGTATAGTATAATCGTTCTTTTCCTTCAGTTTTTTGCTTCTGATTCTCTTCTGTTGATATTTATGGGAGGAAAATGTTGAGAGAAAAGTAGCATTGATGCATACATGAGTCTAAGCAATGCTTAAGCTATCATTTCAAAGGTTTAACCTATTAGAAAAACCCATTTATTAAATAGCATAACTTATCCTTGAGTCGGAACTTTTCACTAGAAACTAAGATATTCTGCTGTTGGGTGTCACAATAGCAGCCATACTGGCTATCTTGTCTGAACCCCCACACGCTAGGTTTTAAAGAATTTTTGGAAACCCAGGAAAGTGAATGGCGCGACAGCAAACCAATGAAGTTGCCTAATTTGGATCTTGAGACATTTGTTTAGGTAGCAAAGCGCATTTTAGAGGTGATCAGGCTCTCATAACTGCGGAATCCTATCTAGCCCTTGTTCTAATCCAAGTTTATTGAAGGAAAGGCCATATCTCTCTCTCTTTCTGCCTTTCAGTCAGTAATAGAGCCGTCAGAGGTAGAACTGCATGAACTCCGCGAAACCGATGCCTGACTTCCCTCAGAAACGACGTGTCGGTGCTTGCTAGAGGGTGTCAGCGGTGGTTTAGCCTCCACCGCTCCACGTCTTCCTGCTCCGCCCTCACCATTCGATATCGGCCGATCCGATTCACCGACAACTTGTCAACTGCTATCAATCGGATGTGCGTGCCGATACCATTCGTCCCTTTATTACTGCTGCTTTGGTCTCGCAGGACTGCGATAGTCTCGTTCAACTTATTGTATGGTATTCATTTTCCCAATTTTCACATCCTTAAATCTATTTATTGTAATGAGTATTGAGCTTGGGAGCTTTCTAGTATAGTTGCAAATATCACTTTATCAATCTAATAAAACACAAATATTTTGAGAGTTTTGAAGAGTTCCAATTCCTCAACCTCTTTTCTTTTGTCGAAGGGAATACGAAATCCAGGCATTTCTAGTGAGTTAATGCTATTCCGCCAACCGGGCTTGATGAAATAAAAACTTTGATGCCCTTTAGGGTTTCTAAATAGAAGTTTCTTGCTGTTCTCCTTCATTACGGAATTAAAGCACGCAAGAGTTTTTTAGGCTTTGCTGTCGTGTTGACTTCTCTTTTATAGTGTCAGCGTTCCCTTCCCTTACTTCTAAAACATCTTGTGCTTAAGCTTGTGGCTCTTGAGGGAAGATAAAACTTAAAATTATTTTTCAAATTCAATTACACCTTTCATCAAGATCTCTGTTGAAGGCTATTGGATCCGGAGTTATGAGTGGACTAGCATCACCCATATAGGTAGATGCTTCGATGGCCCTTGTTGAAAAGTCTTTATGACTGAATCTGTTCTTTTTTGTGGCAAAGGGCACTGAATCTTGATGCACTTTCTGAGTAGACTACATCATTAATAGTTATTAGCCATAATGGCTTAGAAAATTTTAATGGATTTCATTTTTTGTGATTCTTGTTAGTACACTGGTGGTCTTTTCCAACTCATCATACCCTACTTATTCTTCCATTTGTATCCTGGATTGTATTAATTATAAAGAACCTTGAACCAAACATCTTTTACGCACTATCGCTATCACCCGAAATGCGCTGGTGTCGTCTTCGTGAAATCTGAGAACAATTTATGATGCAGCGTTCAAGCAGTTGTGCATAAGCTTGTCTATCCAATGCTTGGATAGACACACTACAATTGGAATTGTCATGAATCGAAGCACCAGAGATAGATATAGCACTCGCGCTGAACTTTCCCATTATCCCTTCTGTTGTTAATAGGAATTTTTTATGCTCCTTTATCCCTAGATGTCTGTAGCGTTCTGCATTTGTCAAATTGCTCCCATCATTTTTGACATTGAATTCGCCTTCATGAGAGGGAAAATTTTATCTCCATATTGAGTAAGGGTGCCGGTGGAAGTGAATATACCCTCTTTACATACACGCGCAGTTTTGCCGTCATATTTACTCCAGAGTGACAAATCCTGGGCTAAGCTACAATGACACCCCCACTGGTACTCACTTTAAGTTTGTCCAAAACAATTCTATGGCATCGCTTTAGAATGCGAATACCGAGGCACTTTTACCTTTTTTTCCAATGCAGGAGAGTTAAACGTTTCATTGAATTGAAAGATCGCCTTAAAAAGGAGGACCTGAGCATTCTAGTTTGCAGTATCAGCAATAATATCAAAGCAGTGGAGGTATTTAGATTCGTCATTGTTAATGATGACTGTCCATGTTTAACTTGCTCCCTCCTCGTATTGGGCGAATTTAGTTCCCGTTTCACTAAAAAATATCAATTTTGGTTTATTTTGTCACTGATAATGCTTTGTTTTACCAAATTTTAGCATAATGCTTTCACTAGAATACTTTTCATTTACTTCCTAGAAGGGTCGATGGTACCATGCTGCATTAGATTTAACAGGCCGCCTCCTAACTGTTTGCGGTTTCGCCTCTGATACCGGGACTAGGCTGACCCCATTCTCGTCACAGCTCTGGCTAGTGTGGTTCGTGCTTTTGAAACAGATACAGCAGTTCGATCTGCTGGAACGCGAATTGGCCGCTTTTGATAGGCTGGACAATCCTGACATCTACTTTGAACATGCACCCAACCTATATCCCCGTCGTAAAGGTGCATTTTAATAACACACTTACTTGCATAATAATTCGTGATCAGTATTTAATATTCTACGTTTTATCTGCGTCTAGGGTTCAATGATCCCCTTCTCGTTGCGACTACTTCATGCGGAGTTGCCGCACCATTGGAATCGGTCAGGGGAGGCTCTTCATCGCCTCTATTTCCTTGCTGCTGTCGTGGCTCGAGTAAGTCTATGTCCACCCACTGTTGTCAATTTCTAGATGATCAGCAACCTGGAAAATGGCTACACCGAGGATGAGAGTGAGAGCTATCCAAACAAAGCCTACAAAATCAGTGAGTGTCCTTACAAGTGTAATCTGAACATGTAATATTTGATGAGCTGTCATAGTTAACTGTGGCTTTTAGGCTCATTGGTGATATGGGGACGTCAATCTACCTTGTCAATCAGGATTATCCCTCTGCGATCGAAACTGTTGATCAAATGATCGATAAGCTGAAACCCTTGGGAGACCACAGGTTCCTCTACAGGACTTTGGGACGCATATACCTGGGGGTATGATAATATTACGGTATTTCCCTAATACCTTGGTATGTTAATGTGTACTCGCGTTATAACGTATATTGGAGGTGTGGATTCAACTGAAGAAATGTTCAAGGAGGCCTTGAAAGATGCATTGCCCGATCTGACTATTACAAGCATTCAATAGCTCATGTATAGGTACGCATTTCTGTCGTAAAAGTGGTCAGTGTTACTCCACATTGATTGAAATATATTTTTTAATAAATTTAGGTTTGTAGTGCTTGAATTTTTTTTTTCGACTTTAGTGCTATGCTTCATATCACCAGCGGTCATTTCGACGAGGCTAAAAGACTATTTTGTGAGGTATTGGAGTTGGATCCATCAAATGTTGCAGTGAGTGCATGTTTATTTTTAATACCATCTCGTTAAATGTGTTGAGGTTATTTTGCTTTTCATTGACCGACTACTTTTATCTACCTGAGTTTTGTTGTGATTTCATTGGCCGAAAATTATTCACCTTTTTGCAAATGTCTTGGATTAGTGTCGTAAAATTTTCTTGCTAAATCAGCTCCAGCATCCTGTAATTATCTCGCAACAATAATCTTCCATGTAATCAGAATTACTACTTACCAATTACAAGGTAGAATGGTCAGTCGAGTTGTCGTTAACTTTTTATGAAAACAAGTAGCTCCCCGATTTGAATCTCTTTGGAATGCTGCATTTGGGACACAGTTAAGCTGATTACTGAAAAGCATGTCTGCAGTCTACCAAGAGGTTGCTGATGATATCAGCATCTTGGAAGATAATATCATTACTTTAGGACAGACATATTTTAAGGAACCGGAAATGTGTGTGGCTTTCGCTCAAACTTTTGTCTGGTTTTCTTAATTTCTAACCATTTACTTGACTGTATTTGATTTTTGAGTCCATCCAATATCGCTTATCATATTCTACTCTCAAAGTTACTTGATTCCCACGAGGAGTAGACGTCTTGTACTCGATGATTTACACCGCCCTTTAAAATGTGTTGCATATTTATTTCGAAGGATCCAAATGCTAACGGGGAGCTCACACTGCTGATATTTACGCAGATTACATGATTCAGGAGTGCGTAGCCGAGCGTCTTCATAATACTTTTTCCGTTTGGCTCCTTTTGGTTAAGGGCTGTTAAATAGAGGGTTATGAATAATCACCATGCAATACAGAAAGAAAGTAAAGTCTCTATCGTCAAGAATGTGCATTATTTGCAGACCGCCAACAATCAGGCAGTGTGTTCCCATTACATTGGCTAAATGGATGAGAGCCTGCGTATTCTGGAAGCTCTGACGACACCAGCGCAATATCAACAACAGCAACAGCAGAAGTTAGCGGAGGGTGGAACGGCGTCGCGACCCCTGCTGGAGGGACCTGCGCTGCACGAAGCGATAGTGTCAAATCCATCGAATCTCCTTGATGCTGAATCGGACCATGCGATTGCCCGAAAAATGAGCCTCCTTGAGCGCGTTGCTATGCTGTCAGGTGAACGCGTGGCTCCAAACGCATTCAAGCCAAAATTGGCTTAGGGGTTGCACCTGGAACGCCTTCCAGACTCTCTGTATTCGTTCCTGCTCTTGCTCCTTTGGCAACCCATTTCTTATCACACTGTCTCGTTTTCCCGACTACTTTGGATGGGTATGCTCTTTCACTTAAATCGCTTCCTTTCGCATTGTTTTTCGAGAGTCGTGGCTGAATACTGCGATTGGATGCTATTGAAGTGGACATTTTTGCAATTATCTGAAGTCTTTCTGTGATATCCCAACAACTGCTCTGTACTTTTCGTTCCTTCCTTGTTGATGTCTAACTCGAAGTGCCGTAGATACAGTGAAAAGTGTCACTCCTATGTTTTCATGCAAAAAAAGGTAAATTTAAACATTTTTTCCAAGCATGGCGCTTATGGTATGGTAATAAGGTGGGTAAATTCTGAAGGCAGCTCATCTCCAGTCCCAACCCAATGCTAAGTGTACAATGGCTTGGAACGTTTAACAATACTCCTGTCGTCATACCACATCCGACTTTGTGCGTGGATGTCCTCGAGTTTACGCCTTCGTCTATAGAAAAACGGGTTCACCACTGAAGACCGTTGCATTCCAGCACCACTGATTTTGCTGTCTAGACTGGTCCCCAATACAGACGACTACCGTTTGTAGTAGGACGCACCTGGTACCCATCTCTACACACCCTTCTGCCACGGAGGGCATCTGCTTTCAGTCTGGCTTAAACGTCGTCTGTATGCTGACGAAGCTAAAACCTTGTCGTTAAATCGTTCACACGCACTCCTCTTTGTTAACCAAGACAAGATCTTTAAATTGCATTTGAAATACGCAGGCACTCGGTCACTCACGTTCACATGGACCCTGTCGACAGATAAGAAATCAGTATATACGTTCAATACTTGGTAGAGAAAAACCGCCTTAACTGAGCTAGAAGTCGTAACCCTACATTATGCAAAACCCATTTCTCCTTCAAACTCAGTAATGAACCAAATCGACGTAAATCACGTTAGGATTACAATTATCACAAAAGCGAATTAGAAGAGCAGAGGGCGAGTGGAAATGTGAATAAGGGTAGGATAAAAACGTCAGAGGGGAAGAAATAGTCCTACCGGTTCAAATACGGACACCAGAGAGGACCTGATCTCAACGCTGGAAATAGACGTCTGTCAGAATCTCCAATGGCTCATTGCAGTCAAATACCTATCAGGAAAGGAGGTGATGAATGCTGACTGCTGCCAACATTGTCTATCCTCACACTGGTGTCATCGCGTCCTCTTCTTATCCGCAAACGCCATCAATTGTAGACTACTGCAGCATATTTATTACTTTCTCCGTGGATAGCCCTCCACAACAGTGGTATGGAGCTATATCCATGCCGTCAGTCTCAGCTCTTCCAAATAATGCCAGTAAAGCCACCTTCTCATTCGCATGATTTAGCACACATTCAGGAGTAACGTGGTGCTGCCTCAGTGAACATTTTTTCGTCAACATCGTCGCAGATTATAGCGATGTTTGGAAGAGGGCTAACTTCGGAATGAATCGTGTGATAAATCATGTCGCATTTGGGTTAACTTGACATATTTCATCTCATGGGCATGGCAATATACCATAACGGGAGCCCCGACACAATCCCTTTTGATGCCCAAAAGCCAGTCTTCATGCAGTTCGTGCAGCTGATTCAGGTGGTCCTGCAAGGCAATCATCAGCATGGCGCAGTTACAAAATCTAGAAAGGCCAACACACAAACTCCATGCATTCCATTCGAAGTGTGTCAAGGCATTCTGATTACTGGGAGGTCAGTTTTGCTCTCCATTCTAAGGCGCACATGCATCACAGAGGTGGCAGAACACAAACGACAAAAGTGCGAACGTAGTCAAAACAGCCCGAGGTTACCATGCGCGCCTCAATTTACCGGGAGTGTAAAAGGGAGAAATGCAGGGAAATGAGGCGAAGTGTTTACAATGCGACGTAGAAACAAAAGCATTTGCTTATTGTAGTGGCGAAAACCTGCCATTAAGTGATGTCTTGCTTGGCAAAATCGTAACATTCATCACATGCCCCTTTTGCCAAACAATAACCTCCACTTCCATACAGCCACATAATAATGCCGATTGAAAAGGCGTTTCCATTCTGGGGAATAAATGTACTCCAGAATAAAAGCAATCATACAAAAAGAAAATCACTTATTGGGAAGCCATGTTGATGCAAACCCACAAAAGGTGTTGACAAGTCCACGTCTTCAAGACTGCTAATGATGTTATATGCTTGAAAGAAACAGGATTAGTCTCTTTAAAGGCAATATGCATAAAACAGAAATGAAATGCCCAATTTGGTTAGATCTTTACGTCATACATGACCAAGCAATAGGTGCCGCACATACACGATCAACAGAGGGGACTGTTCCTCTGAAAGCGAGAGTGATTTGGTCATTTGCATTGCTTTGGGCAATAACTCGTTTGTACGGACGTGTAAGCGGTATCAGCATTGCCAGTACACAGGGACTTTATTAATGGCAAGTCAATTTCTGTTTTCCACATTGCAAATCCAAAAGCTGGTTTATTGTCTCTGGAGAAGACTGAAACTGCACATACACAAGTACCATTTGTCACACTTTGATCCAATGACCTCAAACTGACGTCAAAGTGGCAAGTGCTGAGTGAGCAGCAGTGCCCTAGACAAATAAGTCCTCCCAAACACCCACCAAAAGCCGTTCAGATTGAGTCAAAGGAGAAGCAGTAAAGAATATTGACATGGAAATTGCACATGAAATTGTGGCACATGGATACTTTGAACGTCCGTCATTTGTATCGTTAACAAGGCTGACATGCAGTCCATTGGAACACATCAGCAAGAAGTGTAGGCAAAAGATGCGCGAACCAGGCAAAGGGACATCAGTTTCTATTTACTTGACCAGCAGATTCACCATTGATATGGCGCTTTCACCCCTACGTACGCTTGCGTATTCTTTAGGCACAGATCTCAGGAGAACATTGCAGATAGACTGTGAGTGCGAAGAGAGACATTGTTGCGCAGAGGATGCGGGTGAAGGAAGGCACTTCGACAGCTAGCAGAAAATGACGCACCGATGAGTTCAAGCTGAAAGATGGGCAAGTTCATGCCCCACTCGTAGAATTCATCGTAAACCTTCACATCTTCTTCGAGTATATGACTACTGGAACAGAAAACAAAGTTATTTTTGTATATTGTGTTAGAGAATTACTAAGATTAGTGGAAACAAATAACACAAGTCAATCCGTCTGCACCCTTAAATGTTGTAAAATGTTATGATAAAGCTTAGCATAGGAGTAAAAACTAGCCTGAATTATTTAATAGCATTTGCTTCCTAAGCAACACCTCAATAAAGCAATGTCTGACACAGTTGATGGAGCGCTCAAATAATCGCGCAGGAGTAGTCTGACGAACAAAATGCAAATCGTAATAAAGTAAACAGAACAACAGAGCAAACGGACGATACGTTACCTCTATTTCAGCCTGTCGCTTGAATGC